CGCCCTGTGCCTGCAGCTCTTTCCCCGCCGTTGGGAAGCAGCCAGCTCCCACGGGCACGGCTGTGGAGCTTGGTTCACCCTGGTGCTGTTACCACGAGGAGTTTCCAGTGCCGCTGCCGATGCGGTGCCCGTGTCACGGGGCTGCTCACAGCCACCGTGCCTGATGGGCTCCTCTCCCCATTCACAATCAGAGCCTCAACCCAGCCCTGCTGATTCACAGAGCAAAGGGCATTGATACCAGTAAATCAGTGCCAGAGGAGGTCCATTTGAAGGGAGAGCCTTGGCTCCCTTCCCCTAGCCAGACCAAAGTGCTGCAGGGAAGGCAGAGAGCAGCCCTGAAACGCACCCTGCCCCAGGTCTGAGCTGAGATGACTCAGCAGAGCCAGGGTCTATTTTTACCCTCTTCAAGCGTTCTCTGTCAAGCTGGAATTTTACATTAATCCTTTCCAAAAGCCACAAACCCGCGTCACCTTCTGACTGGAGCCAATCATACCCCAGGACCTGCTCTTCCCTGCTAGGGAGGGCACAGTTTGGCTGCAGGCAGCAGAGCAAACACTGCCTTCAGGAAGCCCAGCGGCGGCATCAGAGCACGAGGCTTGTTCAAAGCAGCCGTGTTTATACACCTGGGAAATGGGCCTTGACCCTGCAGTGCTGGAGGCTGTTAGATGAGCATCACATGCTGTGATGGAAGAGCCAAGTGATGGGCTCATCCTGCTCCTGTTCCAGATGAGAAGCTCCATGTTGTGGTTCAACCCCAGCCCCACACATGGCTGGGGGACAGAAAAGGGTAAAAGTGAGAAAACTCATGGGTTGAGATGCAGTTTAATAGGGAAAGCAGAGCAAAACAAGGAATGCATTTGCCACTTCCCATAGCCAGGCAGGAGACCAGCCATTCCCAAAGGAGCAGGGCTCTGTCACGAGGAACAGCGACTTGGGAGAACAAACACCATCCATTCGGACGTCCTTTCCTTCCTCCTCAATTCTTCTCCTGGCTGTGTACACCAAACAGGATGTCATCCGGTCGGGAATAGCCCTGGATCAGTTAGGGTCAGATGTCCCGGCCACACGCCCTCCCGGCTCCTTCTGTGAGAAGCAGAAAAGGCCTTGGCTCTGTGTAAGTGCTGCTCAGTGGTGTCTGAAATGTCCCAGGGTCATCATCAGGGTTTCCAGCAGAGAACCCAGGCACAGCCCCAGAGCAGCTACTACAAAGGAAATTAACTGTACTCCAGGCACAAGCAGCACAGGAGGAGCTGTGATACGAGGTGAGATGTGACATCCAGAGCAGCCCTGAGAAGGACCTGGGGGTGCTGGCTGAGGAGAAGCTCCCCGTGACCCAGCTTCACTGTCCACATGAGCCCAGAACCCTCCATGTGCTGGGCTGCACCCCCAGAGCGTGAGCAGCAGCTCAGGGAGGGCATCCTGCCCCTCTGCTCTCATGAGACCCCCCTGCAGCACTGGGTACAGTGCTGGGGTCCTCAACATGAGAAGGACAAGGAGCTGTTGGAGCAAGTCCAGAGGAGGCCATGAGGATGCTCAGGGGCTGGAGCGGGTCCCGTATGGAGCCAGGCTGAGAACATTGGGACTGTTCAGCCTGGAGAAAAGCTGTGTGGAGACCTCAGAGCAGCTTCCAGTGTCTGAAGGGGGCTACAAGGATGCGGGAGAGGGTCTCTTCATCAGGGACTGTAGTGATAGCACAAGGGGTAATGGGTTCAAACAGGGGAGGTTCAGGCTGGAGATAAGGCAGAAGCTGTTCCCTGTGAGGGTGCTGAGGTGCTGGCACAGGGTGCCCAGAGAAGCTGTGGCTGCCCCATCCCTGGCAGTGCTCAAGGCCAGGTTGGACACAGGGGCTTGGAGCAAGCTGCTCCAGTGGAAGGGGTCCCTGCCCATGGCAGGGGTTGGAGCTGGATGAGCTTTAAGCTCCCTTCCAACCCAAACCAGGCTGGGATTCTGTCCCAGTTTCAAAGCCTGGCAGGTACCGTGGTTTGGATATGGAGCCTGGGCTGCAGCTCAGCCTCCAACACCCTCACCCCTCTCCTTCGTCCCAGAGCTCCTTTTAAGTCCTGCTTCAAGGGGAGGAAAGGGAGGAGGGCAGGGAAGGGGGCTAGTTCTGACTCTATTCTTACTCTATTTGCTGGTGAAAGCTTCCTCTTGCTTTCAGGAGCTGTCTGGCCTGGCAGGGGAAGGAGGGATTTAACACTTTCCCTTGCCAGTGGCTGCACGCCTGGAGGCAGGGAAGCTGCCTCAGGAAGGGTGAAGGGAGAAAGGATGCAGAAATCACCCGCTTGGATTTCCTTGGCCTTTCTCCCGAATAAGGCAGGAAAAGGGAATGAAGACAGAAGTCTGAGCGCTCCTCTGCACTGTTTCAGAGGGGAAACTGAGGCAGGGAGGGAGGGGGTGGCAGTGCCGTGCTGTGGGGAATTGAGCTCCCTGGAAGGTCACAGCGCAAGGCTTTTCCCTCCCTTTTAAAGAGGAACCTTTAAAAACGGCGTTTCAAACCGCTGGCATTTATGAGACAAATCACTTGTTAATGTGGATGGGGGAAGGTCAAAGTTATCGGGTGGCTTCAGATCCCTCCCAGGCACGAAAACAGCCGAGAGGGAACAAAGAGCTGAAGGTAAAACTGGATGTGGGTGTTCGAAAAGAACAGATACAAGGGCACGTACCCCATCACCTCCCCGGCGTGTGCCCAGGGTCACAGTTACAAGCAAGATGCTCTGGAAGGGGAGATTAGAGCCGCTTTCACCCCCTCAATCTCCTTTCAAGGTGGAGCATGAGCAAAGAGACGCTACAAGGACACAAGCATTCCGAGGGGCTGAGCTGTGCAGCGCCGCAGGGCACCAGCTCACAAGTTAACCACTAACCCTGGCCAGTAAGAGCAGGCTTCCCCAGCCAGCTTCCCCACTGTCCTCTATGGGCAGCTTGGGCTCCCATCTCCCTTCTCCCCATTACCACGGAGTGGGACACAAGCCCTGGTCCTGCTCAGACCCTGGTGCTCATTTTAACACCCACTTAGAACTGAGGAAGAAGGGAAGGAATTCAGTATCCTAACCCCCCTCTTCTCGATGGGGTTAATTTACCCCCAGTGCTTCTGTTGTGCTGGCTCCTGGGGGGTCCTGGTTCAGGGGGTGCTTTAGGGATGAGCAGGCTGCCCGCAATACGGACTGGGTTCCTGCAGGAAGGCCTGCCCTGGGTGATAAACACCCACCCTTCTCTTGCCCAGAGCCTGCTCTGTAAATCAGCCTTAAATGGAAGCAGCGTGCAGCATGGCTCCAGTGGAAATTCCTGCTTGAATTGGGGGAATGACGTGTCTGCCGGCATGTCCCAGAGCCTGCAGAGCGGGAGAGGGCGAGCATCGCTCCCGAGCTTCAGCACCCTCGGCCCGACACAAAGCTGCCTTTGTCTGGAGCTCCGTGTCAATGTTATCTCTGTGGTTTGACAGCTCCGACAGCTCCGACGGTCCCGTTTTATCCATGGCTGAGACGCGTGGAGCAGGCACTGGGGCTTTGTAACAAGTGCTTGCCAGGAGGAGGATGTCACCAGGGGCTGGATGCTGGCAGTTGACCTCCCGCTGCTGGGATGTGTCTGAGCGCCCAGTATAAACCATGGGGCAAACTGGGAAACCTCCTCCCATCCTGAGTTTCTGCACAGCCATTCCCTAAGGAGCATTAGGGGGACTTTTCAGGGAGAGGATGGAGCAGGTCCTTCCCCATCCTGCTGGACGTGCACAGAGCAGTGCACTGGCCCTGTGAGCTAACTGGAAAATTCATTGCTCTCTAAGGAGCCAAATGACTGCAGCTGAAGTCAGTGGTATCTAGAGCCCAGAACACATGGTTTTGGTTAAACAAAAGGCCCTGCATACTTTTGGGGCTTGTAATAGAAGTACCCACCCAGGAAACCAGCAGGAATTCTTCCCCTTCAAATCCCAGTTCAGCTTAACTATTTTTGGCATAGACAGGCACAAACTGCTGCAAGGAGAAACCCAGGTTTCCATTGCCCACCATGGCTGGGAGTGCAGGTGTTCATCCCGCCATGAGTGTGGCCACCAAAGAGATGCTTCCCAAATATCCACATCTTGAATGGGTTAGAGAAGATGCTTCCCATATATCCACATCTTGAGTGGGTTAGCTACAGCTCTGCTCATCTGGCTGGAGCCAAGGAGCCTTGCTGCCTTCCTCCAAGCGCTGGGGATGATGATGGGCAGCTGCTCAGCAGCCCCGTTGGCACAAAGGTGTTCAATGCACTGAGCCCTTTCCCTGGCGAGCAGTTTTCCTGCTGAGCCGCTTCCTCCCTGCAGCACCATGGGAATGCTGCTGCCCGTTTTCAGGCTGTCACCTGCCTTTGCCTCTGCTTTGGGCTGCCATTAGAGACTCCAGTTACTCACAGCACAGCCTCAGTGAGTCACCACGCTCCTGAGGCAGGGTCCACATCATCCAGCCGTTGTGCAACGCCCAGTTTTACATTATACAGGGTTTGTTCCCTTTCAACACAAGTTCCCCTGCACAAAACCAAAGCCAAACCCAAGGTGACTTTCCTCACTTCCCAGCTTGTTGGGAAAGGATGGTTGTTTTGCAAAGGGAGCGAGCGGTGCCTTGCCTTTGCGCCTCCGGGATTTGTCACCCGGACGTGTTTGTATAAGCCCCTTTTCCGTGGAAAACCAAATCTTGCGACTTTCCTCGCTCAAGGCGGCTGCTGTGTGATGGGGGCAAAGCGGGAACACCCCGCGGGAAGCATTCCCGGGGCCTCCTGGCTAAATGTGGAGCTTGCAAACGGAGTCGGGGACGGGAAAAGGAATGAATGGGAAGGGAAATAAGGGGTGAGAAAAGGAAAGTTCTACGAAAGCCGAGTCCGGCCCCTGCGGCTGCCACCAACCCCAGCGAAACCCCGAGCGCTTCCGGCAGGAGCACGGGACTTGGCGGAGCCCTCCGCCGGCCTCCGCGGCGCTCCGTGCCTCCTGCCCCTCCTCTCCGGTCCCTCCTCCAGCCTTCATAAGCGCCTTCACCGCTCCGCTCCACGCAGAGTCCCATTCACCGTGCCCGGCGCTGCGGATCCCGCCCACACCATGCCGTGCCCGGGGTCCTTCACCGAGCCGTGCCCGGGGCCGCGCTCACCGCCGGGGCCGCCGCTCTCGGCTCCGCTCCGCTCCCTGTCGCGCAAGATGCGCTCGTTGCTGCGCTGCGCGCCCCGACGGCTCTGCCCGCAGCCCGTGCTGGTGCTGCTGGTGCTGCTGGTGCTGGTCACGGTACGTGGGGCCGGGGCCGGGCCGTGGGGGGCTCTGTGGGGCTGTGTGGAGGGGTCGGGGACCCCCGCTGGCGCTGCCCGGTGCTGCCGAGGCATGCCCGGGCTTGCCGCGCCATCGAGGGGCCGCGGCTGCCGCGCTGGGGAAGGGTCTTGAGAAGGGGCTGGGGGGGGACACACAATGAATGGGGGGGGGAACAGGGGTGCCCTGGGATGGGGGTGCGGGTTCAGCCGGGGTGGGGGGCGGTGGGAATGGGGAGTGCCGCTGGTGTAGCGGGGAGCAGGGTTTAGGGTTTGCCTGGCGAGAGCGGGGGGGGGGGGCAGCGTCCCCTTAACCAGCGATACTGGGGGGTCCGGGGCGTGGGGTTCATAAGGATCCTCTCAACTGGGGGGAAGCTGGGGCGATGGTGGGGTCACCTGCGCCAGGGACCATGGTGGGAGTGAGGTTATGGGGGTCTCACTTAGCCTGGGGGCTGTGGGAAGAGTGAGGGCTATAGGGACTCGCCTGGTCCAGGGGACTGGGGGGGGGGGGCTGAGGCTGTAGGGTGTCCCCCATGGCACAGAGGCTATGGGGAGAGCTGAGGGTATAGCGGGGCTCAGCGGGCAGGTGGGGGTCAGGGGGTTCATCCGCCCTGATGGAGGGCAGCAGCACATGGAGGGCCTGTGGGGCACAGTGGGAGCAGCAGCATGGAGGTGGAACGGGAACGGTGATCTCAGCTCCCCGGTGTGGGGCTGCGGGCGAGCGGCTGAGCAAGGGCCATGAGGCAACATGTGGGGCTGGAGGCCTGTGCCGGGGGGGGGGATTTCCAGTCCCTGCGCTTCCCAGCGCGGAGCGTCGTTTCAGTGTCGGGATCTGTTGGCAATGTCGAGGCTGTGCGGGGTGCTTGAAGGCATCGGGGTCGGATGCGGGCAGGAATGCTGCCTGGTGCGGGAATACTGCCTGGTGCGGGAACGCTGCCTGGTGCGGGAACGCTGCCTGGTGCAGGAACACTGCTTGGTGCAGGAATGCTGCCCGGTGCAGGAACGCTGCCAGGAACGCTGCCCGGTGCAGGAACACTGCCTCTCCAACTCACCCAAATGATGCTCAAACCCTGAGCGCCGCTGACTTTAAGGACAGAAAGTCCCACCTGCATGGATCGTGTTTGCCCATGCGTTGGGTGTTGGCGCAGAGCTCAGACATACCTAAAGTCTTGTCTCACCTCCAAGCAGTTGGATCCCACCCTGAGTTTTAGGCTCCTGCTGCCACGAGGGATCACAGTGGAGCTGTGGCGCAAGGACATGTGGTTGCTTGCTCCGCACTGGAATTCCTCGCATTGAAATCGGCACTGCCGTAGCTGGTTGGAAGGAGTCACCTCCTCATCCAGTTCCTTCCATCCACCAGAGTTCATTTACACGTGCTGGGAAAGCCAGACCTTTCCAAAATCGTCACCTAAAATCCCCTTCCTCTCTCCCATCTTCTATTTAATGCAACAAAAGGGAAGGAGGGACCTGTTGGGACTGACGATGCCCACGTAATAACACATGATATCGTAGCTGCAGCTCTTGCCTGTTGCATCATGCCTGGACTTTGGCCACCCTAATGGGCTGCTGAGAAGGAATGCGGCTTGGATCCGTGCTTTTGTGGGAGCTCACATTCCATCTGCGGGAAGCCGGGAACGGGGGGAGCCCCCCTGTGTTGGTCACACCGTGCCCATGGAGGAGCAGCAGTTGGGCATCTGCTGCCACCTCCTTTGTCCCTGCTCCTTCATGCAGTTGGCTCAGAGCCTCTGGCGACCGGGGGCTGTGGATGCTCAGGAGCTCAGGGAGGGCTCTGTCCTCCGCTGTAGGGTCCAGCTCCTTCCTCGGGATCCCTTCAGGACAAAACCACACTGGGGATGGAGGAAGGGAAAGTTCAACGCTTGGTGCTTCCCAGAGCTTTGCCTCCAGGCTTTGATCATCCCGAAGGAAGGGGCTTTTCCCTGCTGAGAGTACCCGGAGGCAGCGAGGCTTTGGGACGTTTACCTTGGGTGAAAGCTACTCCTGGCTTCACCCACAGCTCCCAGGCTGTGCTCTGGGGGAGCGAGAGCTTCGTCAGGGTTAGCCAGAGCTGCCGCGGGCTTTGTGCTGGGCTCATGTGCTTGAACTGCGCTCGCAGGTGCTGTGGGCTGATAGCCTTATCGTGCGCTTGGGCGAGCTCTGCCTGAGCTTCATGAGAAGCTCCCCCCTGGTCGCAAGGGGCCTTTCAGGGAGCACGTTGCTCTGTGGCTCTATTGTTTTAACCTTTAAAGCAGCTTCTGAGTCACAGGAGAAATATTTCCTTTAAGAAGCAGGTTTCACGCTCAGGGTGGGAGGGGAAGGAGGAAATGCCTCGGCCAGGCTGTCACTGCAGCATGGCCGGGCATTGCCCCCCTGTATCCCAGCATTACAGGGGCAGAGGCAGGACGTAGGAGCAGGTTTATCCCCCTGGAGCAGCGTGAGGACATTGGGGTGCCCCAAAGCCCCCAGGCCCCGATGGGGTGAGCGGCTGTCCCTGTTGAGCATTGTCTCCCCATAGTTGGAGTGACCCAGTACAGGAAGAGCTGAGCCAGGGAAAGGTGCTTGGGAGCCAGTGGAAACGTGGCCTTTTTCATGATCCACAGCAAGATAACACGGATGAGGCGGAAACTGGGAGCCTGGAGCAGCCCAGGGTGCTTCTGGTGGGCACAGGAGCCACATCCCGGCCGTGGGGCTGGTTTCCTCCCCACAAACACCCTCCCCATCCCTCTTCCACTTTCTTCGGCGCTGTGGTTTCAGGCGCTCACCAATTGGGGAAGGAAAAGGGGCCTGATGTTACCCTGAGGAAGCGTTAGGGAGCCTTGGCCTTGCTGATAACCTGGCAGCGGGAATCCCTCTGCAAACCTTCTCCTTCTCCAAGGAAACAACCACCCCGGATGCGGGAAGTGCCCTTCGCCTGCATGGAGGGGAGGTTTGGTCCCTGGGTCCAGCAGCTCTGAGCCATCCCAGGCCTCCTCTCCCACTTGGTCTGAGCGCAGTGGGCAGAGCCCTTGCCCGTCTCTTTCTCCCCTTGCCCCATGGATTTGGGGTGGGTTTTAAAGCAGGTTTTTCACGATTGTTTTAACAGGAAGCTCCTTTGGGAGCGGCTGCATCAGCGCTGCATAGGAGGGACAAGGTGGATCTGTTCGATGCACGCAGGGGAGAGGAAGAGTTTTACCTCGTCCAGAGCAGCAATATCTACTGCAGGAAATGCGCTGCAGGTAAGGTGGTCTCCAGCACCCATCACAGCCTGTGCAGCCTCACCCCGTCACCGTGGTGGGTCCTTGCTGCTTGTGAGGAGGCAGCGGGAGCTCCAGCTCTCCCGTGCTCCACTCTCATAGAATCCTGGAATGATTTGGGTTGGAAAGGACCTTAAAGCTCATCCAGTTCCAGCCGCCTGGCAGGTTAAAGCCATTCCCCCTTGTCCTGTCCCTGCAGGCCAGGATATGGTTGGCAGAATGGGTTTTGTCTCATTATGAGATCTAAGGACTCATTATGGGAACATTTTCCTCCCTGTCTGCAAAGACATCTCCCTCCTGACCTGTATGTTCACACAAACCCTGTCTTTCTCCTGCCCCCCTTGCAGGCACCTATGTTGCAGAACACTGTAAAGAGCAGAACGGCTTCAGCAAGTGTTTGCCCTGTAAAGACAATGAATACATCGAGTACCCCAATGACCTCCCCGTCTGCTTCGTCTGCCGGACTTGTCGGGAAGGTACAAAGTGGTGAACCCTCAGCACCCTGCAGGGAAGAGCTTCTGCCTCAGAGCTCAGCTCAGTCTCCCCTCGGGCAGGTTAAAGCCATTCCCCTTGGCCTGTCCCCATACCCCTTATATCCCAAAGCCCCTCTCCAGGTTTCCTGCAGCCCCTTCAGGCACTGGAGCTGCTCTCAGGCCTCCCCTTCAGGAGCCTTCTCTTCTCCAGGCTGCCCCAGCCCAGCTCTCTCAGCCTGGCTCCAGAGCAGAGCGGCTCCAGCCCTCGCAGCAGCTCCGTGGCCCTGCTCCAGCTCAGTGACTGAGCCTGAGTGACTGAGCGTGGGGTGCCGTGGGTACAGCGCTCTGCTCTCGCCCGCAGATGAGGTGGAGCTGAGTCCCTGCCGAGCCGTCCAGGACACACAGTGCGCCTGCAGGAACGGCACCTTCTGCTCCCCGGAGCACCCGTGCGAGATGTGCCAGAAGTGCCGGCCCCGGTGAGCTGGGTGAGGCGCCGCGTGCCTCTCGATGGGTGCTGGGACCCCCGGCGCTGAGCCTGCCCTCTGCTCCCCTCTGCAGGTGTCCCAAGGGCGAGGTGGAGCTGGCTCCCTGCACGTCCTCCAGCGACCGCCGCTGTGGGCCTCCCACCGCCACCGTCCCCAGCCTCTCCAGTACGTGTGGGGCTGCTGTTGGAGGGGAGATGGGCGGAGGGATGGGGCTGAGCTGCTGCTGAGACCGGGAGCATCTCCCCACGTGCCCTGTGTTATCCCCTTCCAGCCAGCTCGATCGTGATCATCTCAGTAACGGTGACTGTGGTCCTCGTGGGGCTCCTCTGTCTCTGGAAGTACTGCTGCTGCCATTCCACAGGTGAGCACGGCCTCATCCCACCTCACTGCGGGCTCTGCATGGGTGGGAAGAGGGGCCTGCTCTGGAGGATGCGGGATCACAACACTGCTTTCACCTTCCAGGGGACAGGAGAGACCTGAGCAGGAAGCCCTGCAGCGTGATGGTGAGTTGCTGGGATGAGGTCCCCCATGTCTTCTGCTCCCCATGTTGCCCATGGCTCCTGGGAAGGCTGAAGGAGCAGGGGGATGAGTCTCATCCCTGCAGGGGTGTGCTAGAGCCGGGCTAAGCAGAGGAAAGTCAGTGCTCCATGTGGAGTGCTGGCAGCCCCCTCCCCAGTGCCTTTAACCCTTCCCTGGCAGTGGTGTTGGCACATCCAGGGTCCCCAGTGGGAACCTCAGTTTGAAGGGAGGGCTGTGCTCTCCTGCGGTCCCTTCAGGCTCAGGATGAGCACACGAGCCATGCCCTTGGAACCAGGGCAGGGCAGATGCTGGTGTGTAGGTGGCATCTTTGAATGGTCAACGTGAGCCCTGCCCTCCCAGGACCACCCAGCTCAGCTGGTTTGTGCTTCTCTCCGGCCACAGGACTACCTGCTGCAGCGTCTGATAAGGTTCCGGAGCAGGAACCTGGGGACTCAGGACAACAATCTCAACAAGAGCTTCTCCCAGGGTCCGCTGCTCTCCAGGACCCCAGAAGCAGTGCCTCCCAGTGCTCCGGGAGCAGAGGTACGTGAGCGTGCTCCTCTGCTCCATCCCGCTTGGCCACGGAGCAAGATGCTTTCCTCTGCCTTCACCAAGCTCATCAGCTTGAGGGCTTGCAGGGCTGGAGCCTGGTTCCTGCATGGAGACAGTGAAGGGCTCCCTGTCCTGGCTCTGGGCTCAGGACTCTGAAGTCTGCTCCTTGCAGCCGGCTGCCACAGTCCTCTGCTGGTTTAACGCAGCTGCTGGGCAGACAGCGGGGAGCCAGGACCCACGGGGCCCCTCTCTGTGCTGGTGCCCTGCTCTCCTCCCAAAGCCAGGCAGCAATGGGTGCCTTTGGGGTGTGTGGTGATGTCCTGCCCCCACAGCCCCCAGAGGCAGGGAGAAGGTCTCCAACGCCGCCGTGAATGGGGCTTGGGGACAGCGTTTGTGCTGGCGCTTTGCGGGTGCTAGAGGACGTGGTCTTTCCAGGTGCTGGGGCTGGGGAGCTCGCAGCCCACTGGGAAACCCAGGAAGAAACTGGTTCCGGTGGAAGGAGCAGAGCCTTATGCCCGTAAGTGTTGGGACCCAAGGGGTGTGCTGGGGGTGAACCGGCTCTCCAGGCTCTGCCCTGTCCTCTGAGCTTTCCCCTCTTCCCCCTTCCAGGTTTGCAAAGCAGCTTTTACACCTTTGCCCAAAAGGTGCCCCACGAGCACTGGAGGAGGTTCGGGCGAGCCCTGAATCTGCTGGAGAACGACATTGCCCTGGCAGAGAAGGAGAGCGGGCTGGAGATGTTGATCGAGATGCTCAAGAAGTGGCAGGAGAAAGGAACGATCGACACGTCCGTGAACGCGCTGCTGGACACCCTGCACCAGATCAGCCTCGGCGGCGTTGCCGAGGACATCGCCTTCAAGCTGGTCAAGGAGGGATCTTTCCAGTATGAAGTGAGCTGAGGAGCAGGGCAAGCCCTGCATCTCTCTGCTTCAAGCTGAGGCCACAGATACCTCTAAGAACACTGGAGTTTTATCTTCCTATAGCTCTGCTGTGGCTCTTCGGTAGCCATCGCACAGCTGGAGCCAGGAGTTGATCCTCTCATGAAATACAAACTTCGTGGTCCTCTCTGCTGAAGCTATGGGCTCCATGTTGGTGCTTCCTTATGAAATCCAGGATGGTGCTTGGAATTCACTGGGTCAATGCAAAGAGCCCTAAACTACTGCAAGCTGCCTCTGGCATGGTCTCACTTGGGAGCTCTGGTACTATATGGATGTCTTCAGGACCAGTGCAGAGAGGGCAGGATGCAGGCATCCCCGTGGCTTTTAACTGGATCGTCCTTTTGGAGGGGGTTCCTGGCATCATGCAATGGCTTCTGCTTGTAGGACATTTCTAAGCTGGCCAGCAAGCTCAATACTGTATGTTCAGTGGGCAAGCATTAACTGGGTTCTGGGGTTACCTTCTCAAAGCTGTTGACCGAACGCATTGTAGGTGGTAGTGCTTCTGCTTGCTGCTAGGAATCAGCTTGAAACTGGACTTTGAGGGGAGAATGGGAATGGTTTACAATGGTGATCCCTGGGGTTGCAGGCTCTGCTGTCCCTGTCTCAGCCAGCTTGGAAAGATGAATGCACTGAGGTCCGAGCACGACTCTGGGTACCGGCCATGCATCCTCCAGCTCGATGGGCTGCTGCTCACGGTGCCTCTTGCTCTGGCTCTCACCCATCGCTCAGGGACAACTTGGCTGGAAAACACAACTACTGCATTACTGGAGCTGGTGTGTGCTGCATCCCAGTACAGCCCAGCCCATCAGGACCTGCCCTCCCCTGCGTGCTGGGAGAGCATGAGGGGCATCACCAACCCCTCTCTGGCATCCCTCCCACTGCTGCCCATTCTCCCCAACACTTAAAACCCCAAAGACGATCAAGCACAAGCAGCAAGGTTGTATTTATGTATTTATTAAGTAATGTAAACCTGTACAGATCTTAACTTAAAAGCGAATATAAAAATAGTGTTGTTTCTTTATGCATGGGTGTGTTTTTATACAGAGCTCTGGCCCAGCCAGTTTCTTATGTCCAGTTTTTACATGTCTCTTTATCAAGGAAGAATAAACATTTAAAAAAGCCTCCTGCTTCCTCACCTGGGTTTCTTCCCCCCATCCCTTTGCTCTGCCACAGGCACCAAAGGAGCTGGACCAGATGCTCAGCACTGAGGATGCAGCCCTTGGCAACCTCAGGCCAGCATCCCGCTGGGAATGCTCCCCGCAGCAGCAGCCTGGGTTGTGCCTTTACACCCACACCACGAGTCCTGTGCTCTTGAGGTGCCTGCAGGAGGCAGAGACCTCGGTCCCTTGGGTGCGCAGGGCTGGGACCCTGGGCCTGAGCGATGCTGTCAGCCCGTGCTGGGGCTGCTGCTGCAGGGGGGGGTCCAGCGACACCCCGCCAGGGCTCTGTTGCTATCAAGCTGCGTGGCAATCCATGCAGTGCTCAGTGAGAGAAGGGCTCTGCCTGCCCCGAGTGCCCCTTTGAGCTTGCCCCAGCCTTTGCACTGCGCTTTGATCCGTAAGAGGGCTCGGAGGCGAGCGGTCGAAGCAGGAGCTCTCAGGGACCTGCCAGGAGGCTTCGTGCCCATGTGCAGCCCCAGTGCACCTCTGTGCATGCAAACCTGGGCAGGGGGCTCCTGCAGAGCCAGGCACATGCAGGGGGTAGTGCCGGGACACAGGCTCAGCTCTCAGCCCGGGGAAGGCAAACAGGACTCGGAAGCAGCCCGGATTCAAAGGGAAAGAAACTTTCATCCTACCTGGAGCTGCAGCCTTGCTCCTGCAGCTGAGGATGAGCATGAGCATGCGGAACGAGGGACTCCAAGGTGCTCTACTAAGGCCAGGCGGGAGGAGGAGCAATGAAAAGCAGGAGGACACCACCCGGAGCATCCCTGCTGGGAGCATCCCTCCAGCAGCGGCTTCTCCCAGGGATGGGGCTTAAAGGAGCATCTCCATTCCCAGCCGAGGAAGGCGAGCGGAGGTTTGGGTCTCTCCTGCTCACCCCCCCTGCCTGTCAGTCCCGCAGAGCCCTGGGGCCACGCTGCCTCCTCCTGCGGTAGGTACCTGCTGTGCTGGTGCACCTGCAAGGTGGGACATGCAAAGTCAGTCCGATGGGAAAGCCAGCTCTCGTTGTACAAGGCGTTGATGGCTGGATCCTGCAGAGCTTCCCTGTCCCTGTCCATCCCAGGAGCGCTGGTTGGGGGGTGCTGGCGTCACCCCAAGCAGGGCACAAGGAAGCCCCGTGTCCAGCCGCTTCCTCCCAAACACACAGGGACCACGCTGGGCTTTGAAAACACCATTTATTACAATGGAGCCTTCCAGGCTAAAATCCCAAGCCAAGGGCCTGGGGTTGGTTTCTGCTGTGGCAGGTTGTGACGGGGCCGTGGGGTTGGGGATGGGGCTTGGTTTTTGCCGTAGGTTTTCCTGTTGAACAAAACGGAGTTGGGAGGCAGGAACGAGGGAGCTCCTGCTCCCGAACCAGGACGGACCCCACTGCTGAGCAGAAGGGATGCTGCAGTGCCTGCAGGCAGCGGGGGACCAGGGTCCCCTGCACTGGGCCTGACCCTGCTGCAAGTCAAAGGGGGTGGCAGAGCCCCCCCCGGCGGCTCCGGCTGCCCGGGGTGATGAGATGCCATCAAACCAACCACGTCCCACCGCTCCTGCTCACACATCAGAGTGGAAGCCAATGGGTTCTTCTTCTTTCTTCCTCTTCTTCTCCTTCTTCTTCTTCTTCGTCGCGCTGCTGATGTTCAGCAGAAGAAACAAAACCACCCCCAAAATACCCCCCCGCCAGCCCTCGTGCTCCTGCAAACGGGAGTTTCTCCTGCAGCGTGCGCGGGCAGAGCAGGGCTCCAGGAGCTGCCGCGCATCCCCAGGGATGAGCCCCTGCTGCCATCGTCTCCTCCAGGGCTTCGGCTGGTGGCGTCTGCTCCACGCCTGGCGCTGGGGCAGGTCACCCCCGTTCCTCCTCCTCCTCCTCCTCCCCGGGATGCTGGAGCCAGGGCGAGGATGGGCTCTCAAACCACAGCCGAGGAGGAGGAAGAGGAGGAGGAAGAGGAGGCTGTGGCTGCCGACGATGAAGGAGAGGAGGAAGGGGAGGAGGAGGCGTTCCAGAAGAGCCAGCGCCTCTTGGGCTGCCGTTTGAGGTGGAGGTAGTCTTCCTTCTCCCGCTCCTTCTTCGCCCGCTGGTAGTGATCCTCCTCCTTCAGGTACCACACCGGCGGCCAGCGGTGCTTCTCGAAGTACTCCTGGTTCTCTGCAGGGAGACGGGGGGGTGAGGGCAGTGCTGGGACCCCTGGAACCCCCGTCTCCCCGCCCCGGCCCCCACTCACCTCCCGACATGGCCTTCATGTCCCGGGGGAACTTGCGGCAGACGTTGTTGTAGTTGGTGCAGATGTGATGCAGGCACCAGTCCGCGAGCTGGTAGGCGCAGTGGAACTGGGAGAGATGGAGCCCACGTCAGAGCCACCCTCGGGCACGTTAAAGCCATTCCCCTTGTCCTGTCCCCATATCCCTTATATCCCAAAGCCCCTCTCCAGGTTTCCTGCAGCCCCTTTAGGCTCTGGAGCTGCTCTAAGGTCTCCCCTTAAGGAGCCTTCTCTTCTCCTTCCAGCCCTTTCTCCTACCTGAGCCAGCTCCAGGAACACGAGCACGTCCCCATCGATGTCCACCATCATCTGTGCCGCCTCCATCAAGCCGGTGACCGTGTACTGCTCTGTGAGGGACACACGGGGTTAGAGTGGCTGGGACCGGCTGACACGGGAGCACGGGGACAGCGGGGGCCCAGCACCGCGGTGCAGCCGGTGTGGGACTCACCAGTGAGAGCCACCAGGTGCGGCAGGCAGAGGCGGTTGGCGAGGATGATGAGCTTCATGTCGTCGAGGTCGGGGCTGGAGCTGAACTGCCCGGTGTACAGGTACTCCAGCACCGCCCGCATGCAGCTCTTGCTGGTGTAGGGAAGTGCCACCTATGGGATGCGCTCCGTTGTCACCCTGCGACCGTCCCCACCTGGTCCCCCCTCCTTCCCCCTGCAGGCTCCGGCCTCACCTCGTTGGTGGAGCTCTCCACGAAGGGGCCGCCGAACATCGCGGCCATCCAGTCGCAGCTGGAGATGAGCAGGGGCTTGTGGGCACTGATAGCACCATCATCCAGCACGAAGGTGACATCTGGGGACAAGCAGAGGGATGCTGCTGGGACCATCCCTGTCACCCAGGGCTCAGGCACCCCCTGGCTCGCACCGGGGACCACAGAAGGAAGGGGACAGAGCCTGCTCCATCCCGTGTTTTCTCCCTAAAGATCCCTATTTCATTTCCCAGCATCTCCTCATCGCGCAGAGGAGCTCAGGGGAGGGCCTTGCTTGGGCTCTGCCTCTTCCAAGCGCTTTTCCCAAGGCGCAACACAGCACATTGGGAAGCAAAGTGGAAATCCCAGGAAGCAAAAGTCTCGCCCAAGCTTGAACCTTGGGAAGGAGCTCGGAATTGCTGGGGATTTCCCATGCCCCGCTCTGCTCTCCACCCTGGCCCACGGCTTCTCCCCAAGGCCAGCACATGCTTGTCCCTGACAGCGACAGCTTGGCCTCATCCAGACCCAGCCGGAGGGATGCCGGGACACTGGCACCCTTGGGACATCACCCCGCAGCAGCACGGCGCACGCCGGTGGCATGCGGTGCTGGGGAAGGCCCATCAAGGGCACGTTGCTGCTCATAAATCAATGACCCCATGAAATCCAGACCCAGGGAGTGTGGGGGGGGCAGGAAGTCGCCTTTGCTGCTCTCTGTGGACAAACAGAGCCCTGGGAGGGCTGGGGAGCAGCAACCCCTGTGGAGGGAGCATCCCTCGCAGGGTAAAACAACGCTACGGAGCTGCCAGGCACCCAAAGCGTGTCCCTCATCCTTCCATTAGAGCCCCCCACAAGGGAGATGCGGTCCTCCCCCTCAGCCCGTGGTTGTACCCGAGAAAGTCCCCTTGGCCAGGCATTCCTTCACCCGGTTGGTCCTCCGGACGTGGAAGGCTTTGGTGATCTCCTGGTTCATGAATGCCTCGTTGTTGAGGATGTTGGCCACCATCATGCGGAGGTCGAACACCTCCAGCAGCTCAGCGATGTGAGCGATGTGCATGAGGTCCCGCTCGTTCTCATCCAGCTCCCCTGTGTACAGGTACTTCAGCACGGCCCGGAAAGGACCCGGCTGGATGGAAGCGTCCATCTTCACCACCACCATCAGCTTGGACTTGTAGGTCAGGGGGTCTTCTGCCATCTCCTCCTGGATGCTGGTGAAAGCCCGGCTCCAAGAGGACAGGTTCCGTCCCCGCCGCAGCCCGTGCTCCCCGTTCTCGTAGCGGTTGCCCCGCAGGATCCCATCACTGGTGGAGGCTCTAAGGCACGGTTTCCTCTGGCCAGACCCGGCCTCCTCGGTGCTCTCACAGATATCAAAGCTCGCAGCACGGAGGAGGAAATCCCGCCCGTGGTGCCTCTCCTCTTGGTGCAGCATCCGCTCGGCGGCCGCGGTGACGGCCACCCCGAAGCCGTGCCCCGTGGTGCTCTGCTGGTCCTCCTCGCTCAGGTCCATGAGGAACAGGTCGTAAAACTTGGAGGAGGAGGTGGAGAGGTAGATCTTGTGTGCGTAGATTTTGATCTTCTCTTGCAGCACCAGGATGACGTCCGCGCACAGCGGGTCCTCCAAGAGGTGGGCAGGACGCTCCTCGTTGTTGGAAGGGGGGTCCGGGACGATGATGATGGGTGGAGGGGGCTTAGGGGGCAGGAAGGGGGCTTGGAGGAGAGGCCGCTGCACGTTGCGGAGATGGGACTTCCAGAACTGCAGGTGACGGCGGGAGATGAGGGCGGCGCGGATGGCGTTGTCAAAGACGTCCTTGATGCCAAACTGGGCCACCACGCTCGTCTCGTAATAGGGGATCCCCAGCTCCTTGGCCACCTCCCTCCCCTTCTCCGGGGGAAGGATCTCATTGGGTTTGATCGGCCTAGAAAAGAG